AAATACAATTTTCGAAAAACATGCTGAAATTCAGAAACGATGATAGATATTGATATGTGGTTATCATCATTGAGTTTGTCATATAATTTGACCCTCAGAGCCATCAGTTTTCTTCAATCTAGTTTGAAAACAGGAGTTTTCCTTTAAAAGTGTCAAATTTGACCCACTCTGTGCAAACTAGTATAGGGCACAAGATTTTTGCAACGGGTATCATGAAAAAGACGTGATAAAAAAATTGCAATAAACCTATGATGCTTCAGTGTTTTCCGGATATTTGGGAGAAATAGATAAGTCAGGCGTCTTCCAAGTGATAAAAAAAATGAAAGCTATTTATTATTGGCCAAGTTCGATATTGATTAGTGGAAAAACATTTTCTGAAATTTGATATTTGTCTTATTTGAGTCCACTCTAGCTGTATACTACTTTCAAACAAACCTAAAGAGCTACTTCTCGAAGTTATCCACCCACTTTGTTCACTGGTCGTAGAAGAAGTGGAGCTGCTGTAATATTTCATCTCGGGGTAGAGCCTTTCTTCAAATTTTGCGGTTATGTTCGGCAGTGATTCGGTACCTGACATAATCGGTGGAACGAGCTCTTCGGAGATACAAGAAGTACTACGAACCTTCCTGACACCACTAGAAGTAAAAAGTAAAGCTTTACATTTAGACCCTGTTTCGTTATTTTCGGTAGATAAACTTTCGGTTGAACTGCTGGTTGAACAGATTTCGAAATGTTTACCGTTCGAGACGGTTTTTGATTCTTTCTTTTGATCTGGTATATTCTCACTAACTAATCTACTTCCGTTTTCTAAAGATTTTTTGTTATTTATCCTTCTGGTTAACAGCGAGTTGAATTTGTTAATTCCGTTAGATATTTTTTTCTTAGGCGAGAACGATTGTATCGAGTTTGATCTGAATATATTTTGAGTACTTTCTGAAGGCGTTTGGCTTATCGACTTAACTAGAGTTTGATATTGCTCTTTGGCGTTTGATAAATTCTTTATGCTGAACTGTTTGTATTTTTTCTCTGCGATCGCCTTACCCGAATCAAAACACATATCGATATTTATAATGTCGTCAATATGTTTTTTCGACTTTCTAGCAGAATCTAGGGTATTGTAGGTCCTCAATGAACAATTACATACGTTCCCTTTATATTTCGAAGAATCCAAATCGAAGTCGTCTTGCATGAAATATTTTTGATTTCTTATATTGTGTTCACTGGCAACATTTTTCAGCATTGGATTCCTTTTGTATAAATGAGATTTTCCTTTACTCTCGCTACTTATGTTTAATCCTTTTTGGCCTCTAATATTACTAAGGGAATAATGTATGGTATTTTGCGAACACATTTTTAGTTGATCCAAAGACTTGCTATGCCTTGCTGGAATGCTGAAATTCAAAGGATCTACCGGATTATACAGTTCCACGTTTACCAACGTTTTTTCCGAACTTTTCCTGTTATCCCACAATTTGCCGATTCCACAAGAACAGTTCGATTCTTCCAAGTCTATGAGTTTTGAGGACTTAGTCCAGATATCGGTATCTGAAAATGAAAAAATTATTTTAGAACCATTAATTGGGGCTTCATCAGAAATATATGACAAATATTGTAAAGTGGCATTGAATCATTTTGTCGTAAAATAGACCATTTTCATTTGTTCCTCTCGATATTGCACATTATATACTGCCTGAAGATCTAGTGGAGTTAAATACTACCAGTGCATGGTTCTCTTCATCAGAAGAAAGAAATGACTCTTTTTGCTTTCACTGGCATAAAAGGTTGGGATTGACATTACCTCATACAAATACATCATTAGAAATGCAGAAAACCGAAACATAGCTATCTCTCGAAGTTGTTAGGATTTCGCCACAGCAGTCTATTACATCAGATTATTTTGTCGAGTTTCAGGTCCGTTATGATGAGGAATTTCTTACTGACGTTTCGCTAGAAAACATGGATCGCTTCTTTAGAGGTGCTTTCACCTCAGATGTTGAAAGCGGACTGTTGTGTCCTCGGTAGGAGGTTATATATGTATATTCTGAACAAGATGATGGGGAAATTCGAGTTCTTTGACACATTGGGATGGGCGATCTGGCTAAGATTAAATTCCATATTGGAATGAGCTTTAGTGTTTCTTCTTCACTATTGGAATCATCGGTGTGTTTGTGAATTTCTATCGCTTCCAGTACCAGCCAACTATGACGCTATTAACTCAATTCCTCAAATATGATTTGGTGATCTCCCCCACTAGCGCATGTTCCGCTACTGCTGATTAATCTGTTGGTCCCAATTTGCAATTTCTCTGATGCCTTTTCATCTGAGTACCCATGGACCTCTTTGTTGTTTTTATACAGTGTCTGAAAGCCAAATGGAATAAATTCATTATTTCAGTTACGGCACATATTTTAACAAAATCCCAAAATACTTCGAATTTAAATTATAGTTTGACATACTTCAACGGAAAAATGCTTACTCTACCTTCAACCCCTGTCGACTGACAGGTCGATTTTTCAAGTGGAAAGCATAGGCTTGTTATATATCGCTTGAAAGGACTTTTCATTCTCTATTCAAAAATGTTATCGTTCTTAAGTTTTTTGCAACAATTAGGATTAAATAAATTAAAATCATGTATTTACCAAAATTCGATAAAATACACTCAAAACTATTGCAATATACTCAAAACTTATTTCATGTCAAGGTATTGATAATAAGAAAGTAAGCAAAAACCATAGAAATGTTCTTATTAGGTACATGGTATCCTTTGAAAAAGTATAAATAATTTCTGTGGCAAAGTTAGTTTAAAACGCCTTGTCAACTTGTTTTTTTATGTCACAACATTAGTTGTCAGTATTTTAATTTAAGTTTGAAGTTCGTAAACTTCAAGTCTGACAAATGGTTAGGTTAACGGAAATGCATATAATAACTGTTTTACAAATGATTGGTTACGGGGATAAAACCCGAACACAACAGGAAGTAGCTTGCCTATTTCATGAGAAATTTCCTAATTTACCACCCATATCTCAAGGAACAATAAGCAAAATAAAGAAGCAGTTTTGCGAGCTTCGTTATCTGGGGCAGATAAAAAAAGCAGCTGCCAATGCAATGCAATGCAGTGATGAACTCAAATTAGATGTGATGCTTGAGTTCGAGGAAAACCTACATACATCGAGTAGACAAGCATCTACTACATTTAATGTTAGCCATACATCGATAGTAAACATATGGAAAGAAAATAAAATGCATCCCTATAAAATAATACCTACTCAGGAGCTCATGGAAGACGGTTTTGATAGAAGAACGTATTTTTGTGAGCAAAAGATGGACATATTGGATAACAATATCATCCAATTAAAAGACGTTATGTTTTCTGATGAGTGTAATTTGTCTCTTAACGGTCATGCTAATCGGCAAAATTGCCGCTACTGGTCAACGGAAAATCCTCACTGGATGACAGAAAAACACACGCAATACCCTCAAAAGGTTACTGTTTGGGCAGGAATTGTTCGAAACCATATCATTAGTCCCTTTTTCATTGAGGGCAACTTGAATGGCGATAATTATTTGGCACTACTTCAAAATGATGTCATTCCAAGTTCCAGTGAATACGACATGGTTTCAGCAGGATGGAGTACCACTACACTACCAAGTTAATGTCCGGCAATACCTCGATACAACATTTCCTAATCGGTGAATAGGGAGGCGAGGATCGATTGAATGGCCAGCGCGATCACCTGATCTCTCATCATTAGATTTCTTTTTATGGATATTTGAATGAATTAAAAGAACGAATAACACTTGCGATTTGGTCGGTCACGCCTGATATGTTAAATGATTAAACATCTACTTTGTTCGTTAACATCCATAGTTTTTGAGTGTATTTTATCGAATTTCGGTAACCACATGATTTTAATTTATTTTATTTCAATTGTTGCAATGAACTTGAAAGCGATAACATTTTTGAATAGAGAATGAATATACCTTTCAAACGATATATCATAAACCTATAGTTCCCATTTAAATTGGGGTTTGTACCTGTCATTCGAAGGGGGTTGAAGAAAGGGGTGGCATTTTTACGTTTTTTGTTGGAATGTGAAATTATAATTTACATTTGACGTGTTTCGGGATTTTTTCAAATATGTACAGTAACGGAAATAATGAATTTATTCCATTTGGATTTCACACACTGTATATACTTTACCACACAAACATGGTATGCGATATACCACACACTTACTTATTGAAAAGTCCAAGAGAGCTAATTCAAGAAACACCAACACGCCTGAAGAAGCTATTGTATAGCGAAACATGTGTTTCGTTTTTGTAAAACTGTTTGGTAAAAATCTTACAATGAAGTGTTTATTGAATATGTTATGCATTTTCATCAAGTATCGACGGATTCCATCACGTATCCAAGAAAACTCTTTCTTAATTTTTTCCTAATCTTCATGGTGAACTGAAAACATAAATGTTTCGCATTCAGATGCTTCAAGAACTGATTCAGGTTATCTCTAGTCAGTTTGGTTTCTAAAGACTAACTGATTGTTTGCAAAAAACGAATAGTAATTCTCAGTTATTGCTACAGAAAATAATGATTAGATATCCATTGGAATCCCTAAAAACCAAAGAGAAAAATTGTTCACCAGATTTTCTGAGACGAAATTTCTTAGGCCTTGGAGAACCATAGTAACTCCATTATTTCCATTCCATCGATTGCTGTTTTCTCAATTGATTGTAGAAATATACTTGAGTTTCATCCATTGTTACAACACTGCTCAAGAGTACATCTTCTTCGAACCGAGCACAGATGGAACGATCTCCACGCTTCTGGTCAACATTCAGACATTTCGGGATCCATTAAAAAAAAACATGTTCAAATCGACGTGAACTGTACAATGGACGAGTTTATACGGAATATTTACTACATCAGATATTCGTTTACGATTGACGATGGTTTGATAGCATTATCACAGTATTTCTGTATACAGTAGTTTCACTCAGCGTCGGTCCCTTTGATGTCGGTGTCCAGGAGTTTCATTTTTTATAATGATGACGTATTTGACACTAATGACATTTCTCCCTACTACAATCTCAACCAAAGCGTGTATACACTGCTTAACATAACAACTATTCATATAAACTGCTTGCAGACCTAAGACATCGACGCGTGGGTCTGCGCGTAGGAAACTTCAAACCACAAATCAGCCTTTATGAAATTACTGTATACAAAATACTGTGGCATTATATCATGAACTGCATTGATATTTACGGAGGTAGACAAAAAAACCGGCCTTCCCGATTGATATTCATCTTCAATGGAAAATTAACCTCTTTTGAAGTTTACAATCGAAGCTTTTACGATCGCATATGAAGGACAATTCTGGCCAGGATCCTTTCTTTTCAAATTTTATAGTGTAACTCTGGTTCGACTTTTTTGTCGTGAAACACTGACTAATAATATTTAAGGGTATGGTTCGAATGTAACCAATTACTAACCGGTACTCATCGGTTAGTAACTAACCGGTACTCACCGGTTAGTAACTGAGACATATAAGCTCAAGTAATTTAGTTCATTACAAACTTAGGTAAAAATCAGGTACCTGAAATGTTGGTACTTCGAAGTGTAGAATAAGGTACACAGTGCATTTCTTTAATGCCCCCCCCTTTTACTTTTTGAACGGGTCATCTCAAAAAATTGAAATTTGGGATAATGAAATTGATACATGAATGCTTTATTTTGATAGTGAAATTGATAAATGAAACTTTCAAGATGGCGACTGGGTGCCATGCCATCTGAGAAAAAAAATTGAACGGAAAGGTGGGTCTTGTGACACATCATTTTGAAGCTCCTGACGAATATTTCACAATCCTAGATTAGAAGTTAATATCTTTACCTATTATAAAATGGCGGAACATTTGATAATTTCCTGAAGACAAACACATTAATATCGATATTTCTAGAAATATTCCTTTTTATCTGCCATATGGCAATTTCAACAACCCGATAAGGTTTGTGCCGAAAGGATTTTCAATGAATGTTTTCCGAATCTTCCTATCTGTAGAAAATATTTGCGGGAACTTGTATCCAAATTCACAACTACCGGTATTGTAGGTACATAACAAAAAGCACCCAGGTCATCCGTCCATTCCGGAAGAACAGCAAATGCAAATAATTGGTGAGATGATAGTAAATCCTGAACAGTTTAGTTATTTTGTCGCGATAGTTTGTGAGGTGTCCTTCTACTGTGTGGAGACTTTTGAAAAGGAATAGGTAGATCCATAGAAAATTGACTCTGATCGAAGAACAGAATTCTGCGAAATCATGACGGAAACCATTGCAAGGCATCCTACCTATCTCCACAGTATTTGTTCTAGTGACAAACGTACTTTTTTTCTAAACGGCAATGTTTCCAGACAAAATTGCCGTTATTGAAGTGACACCAACCCTCACGTTTTCCGTGAAACACATACCCAATATCCAGAAAAAATCAACATTTGGGCACGAATATTGGGAAACCATATTGTAGGACCTCTATTTATCGATCAAAATTCAACTGGGGAACTGTAATTGAATATGCTGGAAACTACTGTTGACCCTCTCATCACTGAAATCGTCGAAGCGAATCCTAATGAATTCGATAATTGTATTCTAACAAGATGAAGCACCAACACATTACTCGAGACAAGTAAGATTTGATACCTTTGTACTTTTTTTTTTTATGGGGCTATTTGAAGCAAAGGGTGTACGAAACTGAACCTGCCTCAATACTGAATACACGGCAGAGAATAATGAATATTTGTAGAGATATTGACGTGTTTGAAAATGTTCGGCGTGAAATGGTTCAGGGCAACCATTTCGAGCATCTTCCGAACTGACCCCAAGCTTATTACCTCATATTATGTAGTTAAATGTCAATGTATTCAGGCAATTATTTAAAGTTTCGCCATTTTGTAGTAGTTGAAGATATTGACATTATATTCTAGGGTTGTGAAGCATTTGTCAGGAGCTTCAAAAAGATGTATCACAAGACCCCCTTTTCATTTAAATTTTTTTTACCAGATGGCGCCAGTCGCCATCTTGAAAGTTTCATCTGTCAAATTCACTTCAAAATTAAGTATTCATGCATTAATTTCATTATTCCAAATTTCAATTTTTTGAGTTGANCGTTAAAAAAATAAAAGGGGGGGCATTAAAGAAATGCACTGTATTTAGCATTGAATATGTAGAATTAGTTAGTAAAGACACGCCGGAAGAAGCCATTGTATGGCGTAACACGGTTGCGTTTTTGTAAAATCGTTTAGTGAAAATCTCACAATGAAGTGTTGTTTGAATACGTTAGTTATGGATTTTCATCAAGTATCGGCCAATTCCATCACATATCATAAATTAGTGGTTACTTTCGGAACACATCAACACGGAAAATTACTCTCCACTCAATATTTGCCGGTGACCTTGCTGATATTTGGTTAACCATTTTTCAGAAAATATGACGGAGGCGATTAGTTTTGTTACTTTTTGACCATACCCTTATTTGTCCACGAAACTGGTCTGAATTATTTAGATACCAATGTATCCTCGTAAAGTATATTTCTACTTTGAAGTAGTAGTAGAATATGATATCGTTACTGAGAAAGTAACTGAAACAGTCAACATTTTCTTCAAGCACCCGATGTTTATGTAATACACGATGAAAAGCAATATCAAACCTACAAAGTGAAATTGAATTTTCAATAAGTGCAAGGGAATATCCTTACCCCGATTTGTTATCAGCTTGGTTTCTTCATTGGTTCTTTTCTTGTAGTCGTATGGATCTTGATACTGGTCCTCGAAAATAACAGGCAAAGTAGAACTTTCACCATCAAGCGGTACACAATGAATGGGAAGTGGTGGTAACATTTGCATATATTTGGACCTAACATTAGAAAAGTCATAATTCAACTCCTTGAAATATGATAACGAATCATGTTATACCTTCTAGCTACTTCCGCAATTACTAAATAATTTTGATACGTCGCATCGTTACAGCCGAAAGCTAGATGTCGTGGATTGTAAATGGAAAAAAATAATTCGGCGAATCGTCGTACCCTTAAATTATGATGTTTTTTACTCAAATGCTGTTGAATCGCGATTTTACAACTGAAAGTTAGTAAAAAATAGTTCCACAACTTTATGTTGTTAGCGCAAACTTCAGCAAGTCCAGAATTTTGCTTGTAAGGCCGTTTTTTCATCAACTAAAATAAAAGAATCGAGATTAGCAGAAAGTTGTTTGAATGCAGATTTTACAAAATATCCATTCTGTATATAGTGCTTCTATACTTGAACCACATTAGATACTAACAGAGATTTGTCTTATTTCCAGTACTTGTGTGAGATGTTTGGATTCAGAAAATATCTTTCAATTTGTGCAGCGAATTGATTTATCCCATTTCAGATAACAGATCATGTGGCGTTATTATTGCAGTCCTATTATCATCGTCCATAGATATTCTAATTCGGTCGGTCGCACCGACTAAGTGAAATGAATTTCTGCTTTTCATATGCTGGAAGTAACTTACGACAAATCTTCCAAATGGAAGACGTTGCACAGGTGCCTGCGCGGCTTTAGCTGGGTTAGTTGTTGTCTTTCCAACGGGTATCTGTCACACGTACCTAAACAGTCGTAGGTCTTACATGAGAGGCAAGGGGTAAGGTGTGTTTTCACCTGAACCTGGACCATGTCATATGATGACAGGCACTCATCAAACTGCAGTTTGAGGAGTGCCTGTCATCTGATATTTCTTTCTAACCTATATCGGTTGTCTGTTTTTCGTATTTCAATTAATTTTGATGTACAAATTTTGATATTTAAATTTCCCACTCTTTTGTACTTGTTTCCTGTCAAGGCTGTGGGTTTCAATACATGTACAGGATGTCCTCGCTGTATTTCTGTATCAATTTCATTGACTTGATGAAACACAGTATGCTGAATATGGGGCCATACATCGTAACATTTTTAGCTACCTCAGGTGTCTCCAAGGATTTGATCCTGGATTACTTTTCTTCCTCATACTGAAGAATAATTCACCTCCTTTACTGCATTCCGGACATTTTTTGCAGATGATTTGAAGTTGTTCACCTCAACAACTGACTTGAATGACTATATTACACTTCAAGAAGAGCTCAGAGCGCTACAGTTCTGGCGCTCCAAAGGTTGTCTCGAACTCAATATTTCTAAAAGCGAGGTAGTCATTCTTGAAAACAAAACCCAATAACTTTTGATTACTCAATGAATAGTGCTTTCCTCGAAACTGATATTCGAATACCTACGAGTCATATTCGACAATAAATTTAGATGAACACATCTACAAAGCTGTTACGGCTTCAATGATATCACTTGGTTACTGTGTGCGAAACTGGTTTGGTTTCGGAAGGTTTCCTTCCTATCAGTGCAAATAAGACCAGGGTAAAATTCGATAATATGTTTAGAAAGGCAAGGATGACCTTCAACGAGTTTTTGCTCTAGACAACGAGATGCTTTTGCAAAAATGATGTCTGTAAGAGATTGTTCACAAATGCCTATAGAGTTTCATTCAGTTTTCTTCGTGGCATCAGTCACCCAAGGTTTTTTGAAAGCATTTACTAAATCCAGATGGTATAATAACTAGAAAGATATGTATCTCCCTTGGACGTAGCTAAGAAAGAAGAAACTGAGAAACCTTGAATGAAATGAAAATAAATAAGTAAATGGATGAAGTACAATAACTACATGAATAACAATACCCAAGGTTAATCCGTTTTGTTCCATATTCTGCACAACATTTTTTCCAATCAGTTCTTTTAGAATGTAGTTTCAACGATGTAATTCCTATTGTATGTGTAGTATTTCAATATTATTCTAGATATCTTTGAAATATGTTGCCGGAAACAAGTGTTTTTATGGAATATAAGAAACTATCAGCCAATATTTAGAATTGTCAATAAATATTTATCCTTATTTTAGCAGTTATTAGAAGTTCTCTTTCACAAAGGAGATGTAATTCTTTAACTAGGTAATTCAAAAAATAACAATGTTACCTTAGTGCTATCGTACTCATTGTGTTTCACAATGAGTGTATCATAATTATCTGAAACGATTTCTTCTCTCTGTTGCAGTAACGTTTTGTATTCCTTGATAGTGCTTTTCAGATTATTGCTAGAATCTTGTAAAACGTTGTAGGCCTCTAAATGTATTTGTGGTGATTCGTTAATTCTGCTATAAATCTTATTACTACTCACTGGTAGGACGGGATCCGTTAAAGAAGAACATTGGGCAGACTTTATTTTGCTCCAAGACTTTGAACTCTTTGGAGTGCTGGAACAAAAACACAGGTGGTTTGAAAGTGATGTCAATGATGAGCATAATCTTACCAAAGAACACTATGAGGGTGTAGATATTTTTGATTCACAAAATTCGTTATACTCACCAACTTTGCATGTACCGAAGTATTCCCTTCCTGAATGCAGCATCAAAATTGAATAAGTTATTAGTTCATGTAACTATAGAATATTCTCATATTTTCTAATATTTTAGAAGTCAATAATTTATATGCGTCTCTTCTACATGTTTCTGGATTACATGATGGTATGCAATAAAACAACACATTTTATACCAAGGTCAATGTTACTTTTACTTTCTGTATAGCCCTCGTAAAATTTTGCAACAATGAATTGATGGTTGAAGTAGATGGTCTATCAAGATTTACATTTTTTTCATCTTCATTGCGACATATTGAGGAGTTCTACAGTTTCGGCTTCTAATACGTGTAAATTCATTTTAATTGAATGGGTAAGGTGAAAATAATACTTCACCATTTACACAACACTAACATTCAATGCTGACAGATGTTTCGCTTATAAGTCGCTCAGAAGATGACACAGTGTGTCGAAACAGCGGTTAGCATTGAATGTTAGCATTGTGTAAATTGTGAAGTGTTATTTCCACCCTAGCCATTCGATATATTAAGACATTTTTCAACATATTTTAAATTTCCATATTCAGATACATACTTAGTTATAATATTTTTTTATTGTTGAAAGTTATAGTAATCTACAATGAAAACGAAATCGAAAAGCTATTGTGTTTTCTCATCAAATTTATTGATCGAAAGAAAACACTGTTTCATTCTATATTTTGATGATTTCAGTCAGTAACAATCTATTTTGAACTTTTTGTCGTTGATTTTTGTATCTCGAGTCTATGGTAAACTTTCTCTGTAAATAAATGATTACTAGTTAACTAATGAAAGAATGGCAACTCTTTTGGTTGATTGATGTGACACTTAACGCTTTTAATTGACTTTTTTAAACAGACCTTCATTTCATACAATTGAAAAAGAAATATAAAAGAGTAGAAAAAATATTTGCTTTCGTTTATGAACTACCTACATCCAATATTTATAAAAATTCTACACACTCTCGTTTGAGTTTTTTGAATTGTTCATAACTGTTTTGCAGAGACTCAAAACCCACATGACTCCTGTAAAGTAACCCACTTTATTTTTTTGCAAAATGATTTTTTTCCTGATACGTCTAATAATGTGATCCATTCTTATTTTATTCCTGTGTTATATCGATGTCCGGATATACACTTCCCCTTCGAAGAGATGGAAGAGCCATAAATTCGAATGCATCAAAACAACATAAAATGGAAATACAGTACGGCAAGGGGAGTTCCGAATCAATTGACTAAAAATTTTATTTTCGTTGCACCAGGAGAAATTCATCTTATGAAATTTTTCTGATTTTTCGATGAAACAAGATGAACTGTTTATCTTTTATTTATTTATTGCACGGGATCATCACTTTCATAATAGTTCAAGCATCAAATTTAATTACGTAAAAGTAAGACTCGAAGTAAACTCAAGCACGTGGAAATGAGTGGAAGTACTAAGATATACAGAATTATAGATTATACAATTCACAATTCAGAGATAAATAGCGAGAAAAATATGAAAGATACATACAGTGTGTGTGAAAGCCAAATGGAATAAATTCATTATTCCGGTTACGGTACATATTTTAACAAAATCCCGAAACACCTCAAATTTAAATTATAATTTGACATACGTCAACGGAAAAATACTACGCCTACTCCTACCTTCAACCCCTGTCGAATGACAGGTACAACCCCCAATTTTTTAAATAGGAAGTATAGGCCTGTGATATATCGTTTGAAAGGTCTCTTCATTTTCTATTCAAAAATTTTATTGCTTTCAAGTTTATTGCAACAGTCAAAATAAAATAAATTAAAATCATAATCATAAAATACACTCAATATACTCAAAATACACTCAAAACTTATTGCAATATATTTACTCAAAACTTATTTCATGTTGAGGTATTGATAATAAGAAAGAAAGCAAAAACCATAGGAATGTTCTTTTTAAATGGTATCCTTTAAAAAACTGGAAATAATTTCCGTGGCAACGTTAGTTTAAAACGCCTTTTCAACTTGTTTTGTATGTTACAACATTAGTTGTCAGTATTTTAATTTGAGTATGAATTTCGTTAACTTCAAGTCTGACAAATGGTGAGATTAACGGAAATACATAAAATAAGAGTTTTACAAATGATCGGTTACGGAGATAAAACCCGAACACGGCAGGAAGAAGCTCGCCTATTTCATGAGAAATTTTCTAATTTAACGTCCATATCTCAAGGAACAATAAGCAAAATAGAGAAGCAGTTTCGCGAGCTTGGTCATGTGGAGCAGATAAAAAAAACAGCTGCCAACGCAATGAGTGATGAACTAAAATTAGATGTGATGTTTGAGTTTGAGGAAAATCCACATACATCGAGTAGACAAGCATCCACTACATTCAATGTTATTCATACATCGATAGTAAACATATTTGGAAAAACGTTCACAGGAAGTTCATTCCACATAAACGCCGTTCTCCAGATGAAGAAGTTCTTAGACAGTGAAGTTCAAGGTGAACTGAGTTGAACCTCAAAACGATGAGCAGCCACAGTCATCGCGTTTTCTTGATATGTACCGCTCGTGATGGAATCAAATGTATCAAAATGTCCGCCATTGAGGATGACAGTGTTCTTGAAAGTGAAATTTTTTCTCTTCCGTTTACTTTATTGTGTAGCAATCATGTGAATGATATCTGATTCAAGTTTCATAACGAATGTTTTGTAAAATTCAATGTTCATATAGTAGTGGTAGTTGATTGCTTTCTTTCTTTCTTGGGAAAATTCCCACAATTTTTGTTTAAAGATGGAGAAGTAGAAAGTCAAAACTTTTTTTTCCTAAAGAAAACAATACTTTCAAGTTAACTTCAATAGGAAAATTCATTTCCCATAAAGAGAAGTTTTTTGTTGTTGATCAGTAATTCTATCGAGAGAAATACTGAGAGATTCAAAATATAAAAACAATAGTTTCCTCAATTTTTAAATGGAACTCTATTGCTATTACTTTTTTAAATGATATTATCATATTATTCATATGATAATTGATAAAATTTAGTGAGTTTCGAATTTTAAAGGAATTCAGCTCTGTTAATAATACAACTATCGACTCAGTTGTTCTGAAACATATCAATCACTTTGAAACATTTGAACTGACTTCTCTCAAAACTTTACTGATCTTGGATTTTTTACTCAATCTAACTCGTTCGATTCTAGAGGCGATACATCTGGTACCCTACGTGGCCAAAGATGCAAAACATTTTTCTTTGAAATATTTGATAGCTGTCATGTGAATGTTTAAAATTCATAAAACTACTCAAAAAATTTATGGAGCATGTGAATGTTCAAATTCATTATAGTCAAAAAATCTATGGACCAGGAGTACTTGGTGAATGAACAAGGAATGGATCAGAAGATGAGCTAGTGCCACTGAATTAATATAATTTTACATCAGTAGAAGAATAATTATCGAAACAATTTCGCTATATAGTATTTTTTTATCAAAATAGATAGCCCCAAATGAACTGATATTACGAAATATTTTTTTATATTTGCAATGGGTTTGGTATCCTGCAGTTGTGACATGAATTTATGTCACCTAGAAATGTCGATTGAAGAAAATATTTTGAAATTGCAAATATATTATTTTTGGAAAGCGTTTTAACAAGAAGTTCACATAAGTTTTTGTTTCGATACATCCAGTATGGGGAATGATGATCAGGACTACTTATTGTCATTACTTATGGTAAACATATACCTTTCATCCATATTTCATCAGTAGAAATTTGAATATGGAACTATACGCTACTATACCATTTGACACTCTTAATAATGGTAATTATTTTTATAAAGCTGGCTGATCGATATCTATAAATCAGCTTGATATAATAACCAGTGTAACATATACCACCATTTTTTAGTGAGAAATATAAGTTTAAAACTTACTTTACTGAAGGCTGATGCAAAGCAGTCAGTGCGGCATGGACAGTCAAAGAAATGGCCGATAAGTGAAAGTAGTCGAATAAAACTGGTAAATGGTAATGCAGGCCTTCTATGGGGGACATGTTGAGCTGCAACGATCTCGAGGAAATCATAACCATATTTGTCGGAGAAGTATCGCTAAACCATAACTCCAAGATCATTGAAAACTCGGCTTTTTCTAGAGATTCTCTTAGATTGTTACCGTCTACCAACATATGACACCTGGCGGAGAAAAATAATATCATGATACCACGCTCCATATAGGGATTCATATAATTGGCTGTTATTTATTTGGCGTTAAGTTATACTAAAAAGTTTTATACAGAGCACAAGGTAAATGATCGTACCTAGAACTCTATACTCTTTGATGGGTTCTTTGGAGTTGCCGATAAATATCGACATAAAAGAACCTATTGTGACTGAATTATCCAGACAATGCTCTCATTGGTAGTCGATATGAGCATTTTATATTTCGAAAACAGTATCACGGTATCACGCAGAAGTAATAGGTGGTAACTACAAATTACGAAAGTGTAAAAGAACCACAAATTTTTATTATTTGTTTCTTGAAAATTAAAGTCGATGAGTTTGAAATGGTTTAGAGTCATAATTTCGAGAAAGGGCGATGACAAAAGTGCATGGAATCGATCCCATAGATGACGTTTTCGTAAGGTGATATGTCATTGCTCTTACTATCTCAGGCTTGTTCTTTAAGAACAGTTGATTTCAGCAATGCATTTGTGGTTCAGCCTAGCACCACTGATGAGACCTACGCCGGGTCGAAACAGCGCTTTCTGGTATTGAATCATAAATGCGTTGTGTTTGGGAGATGTTATCGCCTTCACCCGAATTCACGACTTTGAACTCGGGATTTTGAGTTAACTCTTGAAATTTCTTGAAACTCGAAATTACGACTCTTGACTCGAAATTTCGACTTTAATCTCGAAATTACGACTTTATAGTCTCAATTTTAAAATCAAAATTTTGGAAATCGTATATAATAGGTATCGTTACGTTTTCTTCATGGGTTTAAAAATGATTGAGTACACTTTACCATATTCAAACTTAGTTTTATTTCACTGTTAATATAACCAAACACTTCAACTGAAACTTCAACTAAGATTCAAATGTCTGTCGCCTTATTAGATCTTTCCGTACCGCATTGTCACTTAAAGTTGACTTCTTGACGATCGGCGCGTGAGTAGGGTTTATATATGGCGATCGAATCCTTTCGAAGCCAATATGGAATTTGCTAGCAGTCTACCGAAGTAACGCTGCATCTAACTAGAAGAAACGCGAAGCGTTGCAATGATGCCACTCCTTTTTTGTCACACTTTTTATAATAAAAAACAATGTACTTTTTTTAGTATCGTATTTTGGATTTTTGAATTCACATACATGGCCCCTTTACGTGGTTATCCCCGTCCTGGATACCGGCGGGAATAAAGGGGCCCTCAAACTTCACTTTTAAAAAACTTTCTTGGTACCACGGCCACCACGAGATGATGCCACTCCTTTTTTGTCACACTTTTTATAATAAAAAACAATGTACTTTTTTTAGTATCGTGTTTCAGATTTTTTAATTCACATACATGGCCCCTTTTCGTGGTTATCCCCGGCCTGGATACTGGCGTGAATAAAGAGGCCCTCAAACCTAACTTTTTAAAAACTTTCTTGGTACCACGGCCACCACGAGAGTCCGTTTACGTCTTTCCTTCAATATTTTTATGGATTATCTTCGTCGTGATATGTTATTGAAATGACATGATTATATACATTGTTGGTCTTCAACCAGTTGTTAAATTCCACTGGTACGCTGGGAGTTCTTTTGTGCTCTGCCTGATTCCGAAGATTTTAGTAATAATTTTGATCTTCTTTGGGACTTTGTAACTTGTGTGATATTCTCTCATATATGTCCTGTGGATTGATCTGGTGCTAATTCTTGAGGAAAGGTATATATTGATCATTTTTTGTTTGGGTTCTCCCGTAGCTCGTTAGGTAGACGAAAGAATGTGCATACGTCATCAATTTGGCATCTAATATGAGTCGACAAAGTTATTAAAAAGAGAAAATGTGGTTATTGATTCGAACAACCTAACTTAAATATGGGTGAAGATGCATTTATATACCTATTGTTCGAAAAGGACGGAACACTGTTCACATGCATTTAACCATTTCTTGTTGTATTGTTTGGAATCGCCGTAGATATTCTACTCAATGACCTCGTGGTTGGTATGGATTGTGAATGGTTTTTTATAATTTTGCACGGTCATAAGCGTTCAATAAATCCATTATGGTGCGACCTCAACTTTCGTTGTTTTTTTATGGAAACGAAAAAGTGGCTAGTGCTCCGAACAACCTAACCTAAATCCGGGCAAAGACGCATTAACATATCTAGTTCGAAGAGAACGGAAAAATATTCACACGCATTCACCATTTCTTCTTGTATGGTTTGGAATCTGGATTGTTAGCGATTGTTATAAATTTGCAACGTCATAAGCATTCAATAAATTTACTATGGAGTGGCGAAAACTTTCGCTATTTTCTTTATATGGTTGAATTTTCCTCTGTTGGCGAGATCAACAAGCCAAGCGCACGTCACCAGATACTTGTAGCAACAGGCAGATAGATTAGAGGAAAGAGCCAACCTGTGGAGGATCAGTATGAACCCTGACAAGAGTCAGGTTATACTGTTCAACCGGATGATGGTTATCTTCAACGGATTTGATGTCTTTTTTGCATTAATTATCACTATTCTCCGCAGCAGATTATCCTCAGAGTTATTGTTGATACTTTTGTACCTTCGCTCTCATATACAGTTTCCAAGTATGCCCACTCATGCCCACTATGGCATAACGAAATAGCGCTGTGTGAGATTGTATCAAGAATCCACTATGAAATATATTTTGATTAATTGAATCTATATTTCCCCTTTGATTATAACCCTATTGGGTCGAATGTGGGGTGAAAAAAATGATACTCTTCATAAATTATTAAAACCAACTATCACCATCATAGCAAAGAAGTCACAATGAAAATACTTGAAACAGCCAATTGAACAATAAAAATACCAGTAACAAAACAGTAAGTGATACAACTGAAAATACAGTAAAGTGACCAGAATCAGATACAATTGATCGAATGATGCCGGAAAAATCGGATATTCTATTCAAAAATCAATACCTAATCTGATCAGGGCCACTTTCATTTCGGAAACTGGGAAAGCAGGATTCGGCGAAGATCTTCACATCAATCAGTTTCATGTCATTTGTATTGAGAACATTGTAAAAACTACTTGAATATTGGATACGAGTTATCAGCTAGAGGACTACTGCATCGAAACCAATGTGCTCACAAATCCAGTATGTCATCGACTTTATGTTGGGTCACAGAAAAAAAAAGAATCATGTTAGCTGTTATTGAAGACGCATTTGAAAATACATCCCCAGAATAAACCATTCAGGCGTTGAAAAAGAGGGTTCGACGAAATATGCAGCCGGGGAAGTAACAGTAGTGTCACCATATTAGGAAACGGTCAACAAAGCGACATTGTTCTTATTGTTATAAAACCGTGTTAGAAAAGTACGTCCTCCGAACCACAATTGATATAAAGTAATGTATTATAGAGATGAGTTAATCATCCTAGTCCAGGCGAGTGTAATAATATAGTGATTATAGCAGATTATAACAATATAGATTAGGGAAGAAGGACTTAACATCAGCCCATTCGAATCGACGATAGTAGCATTCATCAAGAATACCACGAAAGAGGAACTAAGACCCTTGAAGCTTCGAGGTGAAGAGATGTAATTATCTATATACAGCGTGACTCACAGTCGATGGTAGGTTAGACGTTTCTGGAAAACGCAAAGCATGATTTTTCTGAAAATTCCACCTCTCACATTTCCTCACATGTTCTATCGATCTAAAATATTTTCAGCATTGCGGCGTTGCCACTTCCATCAAAAAGTCCTAGCAACTTTATTTTTT